AAAAGAATTTGGAGCTGCGTTGTTTTCAAGGAATAGGACTAATGCCTGATAATTTTGAACGTCGTTTATGTGTATTGGTGGTGGTTTTTCGTTTGTTTGATCATTTACTGCGGATTGTTCATTTTCGGTAATGGTATTAATTACATCATAAGTATTACTTACAGATATTTGCGTTGCATTTTCTGTTTCAGTTTTTTTTGTATTTTCTCGGATCCCTAGATTCAGTAGGAAAATTTCTTTTTTTACCCGTTACCAATGCCCAAGCATCACCACAAGCAGCGTCGATTAAGTCCATCCTTTCGTCCCTTACCACAACATTTGTAGTTGGGTTGGGATCTATTTTTTCGGTGGATATCACCTTCAACTACGTATGTTCACTTTCACACCTTCTTCCTTCAACTTCGAAAAAGAAAATTTTACGTTTCTACTTGAAAATTCAAATGAAAATTCAATTAACCTTTTTAGTTATAATTGTTTGTGTTTATAGGTTTCTAGCACCATATGATTATTCCTAGGACCTTATTCTGACATCAAATGCTATTAGAAAAGTGTTTATCATTATCCCATCTAAATAAAATAAAAATATACAGCAAAAACGGCGCAAATGAAACATTACCTGACACACTGATGAGTTGTGCGGGTAAAGTAGCCTGTGTCGCCTTCCGATTGTTCAGGACATTTTCAACTTTCATTTATATTAAAGGTAAATAGAAGATGTAGGCAAATTCGAAAGCTATATGGATTTTTTAATACCCATTGTATTAATACCACGAACAATTGTTGCATATAAGTTTTTTTTAAAAATACATTTGTCAAATTTGATTCCTTAAGGTTATCACAATTCTCATTCGTTATCTGGAGCCCGTCGGTCTGCCTCTGTAGGTTCGTTTTAGGGTCAATTAATTTTTCATAAAATTTGTTTATTTTGTTTAAGTTAATAGTTCTTTAGGCGAGCATCGCACTTATTTTGTGGTTAGTGAATGAGATTGAGCGGTCCCGCATCAAAGTGGGTTTGAGTCGACTAATTGAAGTACTTTTTCAATTTGGATTAAAATATCTCAGAAACTAAAAATCGAACCTACATACTATAAGAGAAATATTCAGCATTTCGTCCTCTTCGTAATGAGATATTATTCAAAATTGTACCTTGACGGAAAGGGAGAACGATAGTACCACAAAGCCTAATAATAGCGACTGTTTTGCAAATTTGGACTAAAATATCTTAAAATTTAAATATTATGGAGAATTCAGAAACAAGTTTTCAGAATTAAATATAGATTTAGATTAGAAGTGCATCTATTCGATTTTCGGTTGCACTTGATAGTGTTTCAACGAGTGTCATTCATGGTTATTACTTTTTGAACATAGAACAAAAAAAAAATTATATTTGATATTGTTAGTCTCCTATTGTTGATATTTTCACTTCTGTTGTGTGGTCTAAGCACACACCGTAACTTTTTTTTAAATTTTGATAATTTATTCTATGTTCAATAAGCACTCTAATCAAGCGCAACTACGTAACTACCCCCATATTACCCCATGGGTAATATAGTCCCACGTTTTTTAGGTTTAAAATTTTACTATTATCACGATAAGTCCTTCCTTCAATTCTAAATTTCTTTCAATACTAACACCAAGAGAGTAAAAAAAATATTAAAATCCTATAGTAATCAAAGTAATAATAATAATTAATAACTTACATAATAATATTCAATAACAATAACGACAACTTATGAGGACATCCTAATACACTCATAAATGGCATGGACATTACGGATGTGCCAGGTAACGTCTGTAGGAGGCTGATGAGGAGCTGGATGAGGGACCTCCTCACCTAATGTAGATATCAGGCCAGGAGGAGGTGCCGCTGGGTTCTGTTCTCCCTCATGTCTTATGCATTTTTGAATCAATCATCACATTCACTGGTTGTTATTCTCATTATGACAGGCGTGAATAAAAAAATTAAAGTTAAAAAAATAAATAAATAAAATTGAAATATTTTTTTAACTTTTTTTTATCCACATCTGTCATAATGAGAATAACAACCAGTGAATGTGACCATTGATTCAAAAATCGGAGTGAAAGAAAGGAGTACCCAGCGGCATCCCTTCTTGGCTTGAATTTAGTAAATTTTTAGATGAAGAGGCTCATAAGGAGCTGAATGAGGGATTATTCAGCTCCTTATGAGCCTCCGGTTTTACGGGCATGTTAGGCCATGTCTTGTATCAGTTTGGTAATAGTATGTCCATGTAAGTTATTGTGAAATTTTTTCTAGTGTGTCTGTATGTGGTCGTTAACTGTTGGCATGTGAAGGTTTTTATGTAAAGTAATGTATAATAAGTATAAATAATTAATTTTGTCGCGAAATAAAATTTTAGCAAGACACAAAAACCCAACGTACATCTCACAGAACCTACAACAATATTTAACAAAATTGCATGACTGGTTTAAACTTTGGAAAATCCGACTAAAATAAGACAAATCACATCACATTTACCTTTTGACGTGAAACATGCCCTGCAGTTTTCCTTGATAATACACAATTTACACAGACAGACTCCGTTCACTATCTTGGACTGACATTAGATCGAAAAATGACTTGGGGCCCACACATCAGGAAAAAAGAAAAAGAATAATACTTCTTAATTCACTTTTCGGGAACCAGTATCAAAACTTAAACAAAAATACATTCAATTACTTATTAAAACCTATTTGGACCCTTCAAATATTTCAAGCAAAAACATTCAGGACAATAACAAAAGCACCATGGTACGTTAGCAACATAACCTTACATACTTTTTTTTTGGGGGGGGGAGGGGGAATATTTTCTTTATTGAATGTTAATACATTCTGCCACATGAAAGGGCATTAATATTAAGGCTACATGATTCTTTCGCACAATATGTATAAAATAAACAATAAATAAAAAATACAAAACTTAAATACAAATATACAAAATAAAAATACAAAACTTTTAAAGAAATACAAAATAAATACAATTAATATTTCAATAATAAAGAAAAAGAAATATAAAAAAAATAAAATAAGTCGATATGCCTGTGCTAAAAAAAAAAAAAAAAATGAAACAATAGATAAAAGCTAAATGAAATTAAAGTAAATAAATCACAATCACACCTTTTTTTTTTTTTTTTTTTTTTTTTTTGTTCTTCCCTACCTCGCCTTTTAGGCTATACGGGATTTTCCCGGCCGGGGGGTGAGGGCGGGGAATTTAAAATCCCCTCCGACACCGGGACGCGAACTCGTACTTTTTAAATCATCTCAAATCTTGTTCTCCGGTTGCCAGGCAACTCGCGGTGCTGTGCACACGCTTTAACCTATTCGGCCACCCCGCCCCCATCTCAATCACACCTATGTACAATATTTATATTCACCCAGGCGACTCTGAGTCATGCTTTGTTCCTCAATGTGGAAGCCAATGCAGGACTCCAGGCGATCCCAGTGCTTCTCTCTCAGCCGTGTCACTGTTATTTGAAACCAGTGGAAACAGATGGAGGGCACTACAGCAACAAACGCTCATGTCGACCTTACATACTGACCTTCATAAGCCAACTGTTAACGTACATATAGGAACCCACTACAAACAGTTAACGGATCGAAGGCAGTGACGACTTTATAAGTAATATTTTTATTCATAATGTCTGTTACAAATGGTATCTTAATACACAGAATAATACTATGGATATATGAGTTGACGACAAGAGTTCACTCCAGGTCTCCTACAAGAGTGTGACTTCAAGAATGTAACTGCAAGAGCGTTTAGTCTTAGGGACCATTGGGTAATATAGCCAGGAATAGTAGGAAGGTGAAGGAATTCTAGGCAGTCTAAGGAGCCTGGGAAAGGTCTTTAAATGAAGTAATCAATAATTGATATTGTTAAGACGTCTATGTTAAAAAGCTGGAGCTATTAACTATGGAGAATTGATATCCTTATTTTTTAGTATTGATATGAGGTCTGTGAGAAAGAGTCTTTTGCTTAAATGTGTTATCGTTCCCTAAGTCGTGATAATGAGTCTAGTTGTATCCAGTCATTACCTTTTAGAAACTACTTCTAACCAATCAGAGATAGCTATCTAGGGATAGCTTTGTCTTTTTATCTTTTGAGTTATGAAAATTTTTAATACTATATATATTTCACCAATTGACATATTTAGCAAACTCAATTATTAAAATAAAGGTTGAATTTTTTTTATTTTTTTTTTTATTGATAAATATTACAATCTGTCTCAATAAAGGACATTTATAATAGAGTTCTGAGAGCACATTCACACCATATTTACAAATTAAAAAAAAAATAATAAATAAAAAAAATAAGCTAACTTCAAATAATATAAAGCCACCACAAAAGAACAAAATAAAATATCATAGTGAGAAAAAAAAAAAAAGTAATGAAAATAAACATCTTAGACGCAGGCTAAAGGTTAAATTAATGTTATTATTTGTTACGGATTAAGTCCATTCCGTAACTAAACGATTCCACGACAAATTACAAGGACATTCTACCATACACATAAATGACATGGCCGCAATGCACATGTCAGGTAACGTCCGTAGAAGAATGAAGAGGATCTGGATGAGAGACCTCCTCGCCTAATGTAGATATCAGGCCAGGGAGAGGTGTGGCTGGGAACTGTCCCTCACGTCATTACATTTTGCAATGATTATCGAATTCACTGGTTGTCACTATTATTTTTTGACAGGTATCTGCAAGTTTAAAAAAAAATATATATATATATTAAAATGTTGAAGGGGCGATATTAATAGTCGATAATATCGAAGTAGATACTATACTATTGAAGATCTGGCCATCCCTATCCTTCAATCATTTCCATTATTATCGCTTACTGATTCGAAAATTCGCTCACGAATCTATGCACTCTTTGATAGAGCAGATATGTTTTTGGTTGATCTGACATGGAATGACTCACTCCGCGGAAAATATTGCGTGTACAAATAACAAACATCGTGTATCTGTTGCAGGGATGCTGAGTGCACCAGAACCAGCCGCGGAGACTTCGGTTTCCCGCCCGCCTTCGAGGGGAGGGGATGGGACTCCCGCCGAAGGGGCAGTCCCGAGCAGTGGAGGGGATGCCCCGCCCCCCGCCCCGCCCCCAGCCCAGCCAGAACATCAACCACAACAGAGCGCCCAGCAGGCCCCCAACCAACACCGCGACTCCGACGATGAGGAGGCACAGGTATTTAATTATTTATTCGTCTATCTTGACGTTGCCCTTTGATCTAGAATTATTTAAGTGAATTATTATTTCAGTTACACAATCTTAAAAATTATCTAAAATGATATTACCCTCCATTTCGCAATAACATGTACTATAAACTTTCAAATAACGATGCAAGTATTAAATAATACAGATTATTTTAAAACCGAATCGATACTGCATAAAAAAACAGTAAGCTATCATGCAACAAAACCTGATTTGAATAAGCAAATTAAAATGTCCTACATTCGACATAATCAATTAAATAAATAATAATAAAATAAAAACAATGATTCTCTAAAGTATTGATAGTAAGGACTATTTTAAAATAATCCTTTTAAGCTGAGAGTCCTTGATTGAAAAAATGTCCTTGAATATTAAAGTTCTCTTCCACGGAATTGTAGAATTTTAATTAGAAACGAGACAAAGGGAAAAAGTACTCCTTCTTTTCTTTTTTACAAAGAGGTTATTAATGCAATCTTAACACGATATCCCGTAGTTAACTGTTTAGTAGCACTTAGCAACCACATGGTCAGAACAATTCTTTATAAATTTAGGAATTCAACCTTTTTTTTAATTAATAATTAATATGAATTTATAATTAAATAAAAAATTATGATTCGTTAAGGTTAATGTCCGAAAACACTACACATCCTCGATGGGAAGGTTACGGCGAGGTTATATTCCAGCTCGGCAATGTATGTCATTGATTAACTACGACTGTTTTTCATCCAAAGCAAGTTTATTAACACTTGCTTTAAGAATGTTTTGTGTTCTTTATTAATTTTCTATTGAATATATATATATATATATATATATATATATATATATATATATATAGAGGCTGATTTGATTACTATCTAAATAAATCTTTGAAATATACCAAAAGAGTTACCCTAAATCTGGATTTATATAACTTGAAAACGATTTTTATATAATCTCATAAATATATTATTATAAACGACTAAAAAAATACAAAAATATAGATGTTAGATTATAGTTGGTCCTGAGACAAACATATTACGTTACCTGGGACTAATATTCGACAGAAGGATGACCTGGGGCCAACACGTAAAAATGAAACGACAGACTTTAAACAAGCGACTAAAAATGCTGTACTCACTTCTTTCTAAATCGAAATTGAAAGTAACACAAAAACTAAATACATATACTTACCTACTCAAACCCATCTGGACATATGCTTCTCAGATTTACGGTTCGGCAAAAAACTAGTCATTCCAATCCAAAATTTTACGACTTATAACAGGAGCTCTCTGGTACGTCAACAACAAAACATCACATAACGACTTACGACAACCAACTATAGACCAATACATACGTACTCTCTATTCTCGTTTTCATCTCAAACTACACGGACAGGCAAACAGACTTATAAACGACATGGCCACGGCTGAAATGCTCATCAGGTGGAGACTGAAAAGGAGTTGGACGAGAGATCTCCTCACCTAAATCAAGGAAGTAAATAATGACCAAGAAGAGGTGCTGCTATGTGCTATCCTTCCTCATGCCTTTAATGTCAATCCTTATTTTATTACAACACATCTGCTGATTCTCAATACCGTGACAGATGCTGATACATATTGAAGATAAAAAATAATAAATTACAGTAGGAAAAATCTCGTTGCTGTAGATAAGAAACAAGTTTAGTATGGGCCTGAAGTTTATCTGGAATTTGGTAACATATTGAATATTAAGGTCATTATCAATTATTTTTATTTGTGACATAGTAAGGAGGATTTAAGGAGGATCGAGGATTTTGCGAAAGATTTTGCATTGTAAGGATTGTATAGGAGAGGAATTTGATAGTTTCGTAGAGCCACAAAGCTCAACTCAATAAGTCCAAATAGGCCTTATAGTCAAGTAAATGCAAATAGCCTCTATACAAATAGCCTTTAAGGCTATACTGGGGGGTTTCCCGGGCCAGGGGGAGAGGGCGACAGATTAACGCTAAATTGAAAAGCTCCGCCGGCACCGGGACGCGTACTCTTAACTATTCTATATCTAATAAACTTCAGTTTACCAATCATCTGGTTGGCGAGCAACGCGTGTTTTGTACAAGCATTAGGTCATCTACCCCGCCCCCGAATGCATATATTCTACAAAGTAATCCTCTTCTATACTAATTTTATAAATCAGGGGTGCCCATCTCCCCCCTCCCCTCCCCCCCAAGGTCCATGGCACAAGAACGTACCCTCTCCCGTCCTCCCAAAATATTTTATTATTTACCTTTTTTTAAAAACTAAGCAAGCTAAGGTATAATTAGAAAAAAATCTTAGATCATACACAATTACACTTTCTGCTGTCTATTCTGTTCTCTCCTTGTCCTTTCAAAATATGACCCTCTCATTTTTTTAAATGAGAAATTTTTATGCATCATGAAACTCCCTGCAGGACACCCCTGTTATATATTATACATACAATTAGTAATAGATTCTTTAACTCATCAATTATATAAAGCCTCAACTCGCTCTTTCAGTTCATGCTAGTTCTTTAAACCTGAAATATAAAATTTAAATAAGAAAAAAACTCGCATCCAGGCAAATATTAAGCGCAATGTATTCTTCAGCTGGTAAACAAGGGTTGGCCAAGGTCACGCTCTGTAAGATTTTATTTTTAGTCTTTATTGATCTATTTTCTTTGTAATAAAACTAAAATATGAAGAAAAAATTTACAAAACACATTTTAATTCCTTCTTCATACAGTTGATCTTTTTTGTTGGGGGGGGGGAGGGGAGGGAGGTGAGCTTTAAATATTTATTTGCTACTGTCTACTTGTTCGATAATCAGTGGCTGTGCTAAAATACGAGAAATAATGACGTATAAGCATGGGAAAGACAGTACTCAGCAGAACCTCTTCTCTGGTTTGTTTCAATTACTTCGGTAGTTTATGGAAGGAGATCTCTCATCCAGCGCCTTTTTAGTCTCCTCATACTCAGGAGTATGCCAGCTGTTGTCATGTCTCTTATTAATCTGTTGTAATGTCCGTTTAAATTTGTATGATATCGTTGGTCGTTCGTTCGTCTGTTGGAAGGTGGAGGTCAGTATGTAGAGTTTTGTTTGTCACGTACCAATGCTTTTGTAATGAATCGTAATAATATTGATTGGAATGTTTTAAGGTTTTGTAGGTAGATCTCATTAACAATACCGTATATCTGTGCTATGTCCATGGTTTAAGTAAGTATGTCTATGTATTTAGTTTCTGTCTCAGTTTCAGTTTTGATGATTTGGGAAAAAAATAGGATAAAATAGTTTAAGTCGTTTGTTAAGTGTCATGAGTTTCATTTTTCCGTGCAGGCCCCATGTCAAAGTCCAAGTATCGTGTTTTGAAACAAGTACATCTAATAGGATAGAATAGAATAGAAAATAAACTTTATTCTGGGACGAGGTCCCTTATGAATAACCATTATGAACAAAAAAATAAAAACCACGTCTGGCCAAAAATTACATTAATCAAAATTAAAGAATATCTACAGTATCTTCAGTGAATATATATTATAACAAATAAAATAAAAAACTATTTTGAAAAAAAAAAACATTATGTAAATGAAAAAGAAAAACAGAAATCAGGTAAAACAATTAATACATCATTTCTGGCATTAAAAGCTTGAAAATATGGATGTAACCAGTTTTGAAACCAAACGCCTCAATTGATTTTGTATATTTTATTTTTATTCTTCGTTAACTATATTTCAATCACTCATGACAATTATTGTAATATTCAATTTCTTATATAACTTCTTTGAGTAAGCATATCTTTTTTGAGGAACCGTAAATCTATGAAGCGTCTGTACATATGGGGTTGGGTATGTGTACGTATTTAGCTATTGTCTGATTTTCAATTTTAATTAGAAATAAAGTAATTATAGTACTTTCAGCTTCTTGTTTAATTTTTTTTTTTTCATTTTGACGTATGGGCTGTATGTATTTTTTATATTTTATATTATAGTAAAATTCTTTTTACGAATTTCATTCTGTAATATATTATAGTACGATATCATTATTATATTACATCATTAAGATTTATATCGGGATTAGATGATATCCTGATGACTAAAAACTAGCCGTAGAGGCGGTCAGAGCTCTAGGAAGGACTATCGGACAGTATCTATCGCCCTCCTGACCCAGATTTCTCCTAACCCTATTTTCTCTTCAGCCTGCCGTTCTGTCTATTCTAGGCTATTTTCAAACCTACTCTTGCATAGATATATCTATATTACATACATATACCTATATTTAGACATATCAATACATATATATCCAGTTATTTAAAATATCTCTTACATAGATAACTTAATGAAAAGTACAAACATGTAGTCCCATATATTTTTAGAAGAGACATTTTAGCAAATTTTCGAAAACCTTCTTGAAAATAAAAATCTGTGTCTATTGACATAAAAAGGCATTTATTTCTTAGTTATGTAAAAACAATAAAACATTGGTGGCTATTCCAATAATGTTGTAAAAATTTATTCAATTTCAAAAGACCACTACACATGTTCTTCGCTTTTAAAATGATATAGCTATTATGAGATAATTTTAATCTTCACTAAATTTTAATATGTATATGTATTTTAATCTTTTTAATCGAAATCGCTGGTGATATTGATATAGAAGATTACATGTTTGAACAGCTAGAGAAGTTTAATTATAAGGTCTGCGATAATTAGAAAAAAACGAAATTGAAGAAGAGATTAAGGTTAGGCTGAAGGCAGGAAATGTTTGTTATTTTTCTGTGACAAAACTACTTAGCTGGCTCATCTTGTCCCGGAACTTAAAGACTAGAATCTATAAAACCATTATCCTACCTACACTTCTCTATGGGTGTGAAACGTGGCGGCTTACATTAAGAGATGAGCAATGTCTTAAGGTTTTTGAAAATAAAGTATTGTGTAGAATATTCGGACCGAAGAAAGATGATTTGACCGGAGATTTGCGTGAACTTATATCCAGTTAATATAATTGAGGTGATTACATCGCGGAGAATCAAATGGGGTTGTAAAATAGTTGGGCTTAGTAACGATAGAATTCCTAAAAGGTTGATATTTGCTGTACCGAATGGTAAACGTCCGAGAGGTAGACCGAATCGAAGATGGGAAGATTGCGTGAAAGCCGATGTGAAGGGACTGGGTTGGACGGTGAACGGTGGAGAGAGGTGTGTAATAAGCGATTAGTGGTGTCGGCATCGAACCTCTGGGTTCGCTAAGCCTTTTATTATTATATGATACAGATGAAAATCAAATTAAAGTTTTTTAACTAGTGACTGGAAACACTATATTTTCTTTTTTACAAATAAAAATAGAAAATCATACAGAAACTGAATACATTTACATACCTAATTAAACGCTTATGAACTTAGTGGTTAGAATAAAAAAAAAACAATTTTTTGAGAAAATAATTAATTTTTCAATTTAAAATTATTTTAATCTTCTTAATTGTAAAGTTATTTAAGCTTACAGACATGATAGATGTGATATATATTTTCAATTAACATCATAAAATATTTTTCAATTAACAACAACACATGTAGCCAATCACTTGTATTGATGTTTCAAACCCTTTGATTAATGCTACCTTATTGTATACATTTCAATACTATGTTATCCACTTCAGACTTTACTCTTTATTGTTAACGTCAAGAACCATTGTATAAACTCTGAACTCAGTTGTATATCTGTTAA